GATAGCAACTACCATATAGCCATATTGTAAATTCACGATTCATTGCTCCCAAAGATATTAAAAAATCGATTATTATCGCAAAATTTAGCACGTTGTTTTGTTTTATTTTACTGATGTCAAGACTTAATGTTCCCATGTTTAGTGAGTTTCGTCAAGGAAACTGAAAAGAAAGCGAAGAATGTTGTCTATAATACGATGCAAGTACGACTCGTGACTAACAATGAATTAAAAATTAGACATTTATAAATTCTAAATTAATGTGTCTGCAAAGGTAAAAAAACCCTACGATCTCGACTCAGATATTACTTCTCTGGTTAGTTTTCAATATTATTCGGTAATAAATGTGGCTTAAACGTTCTTCTTAGAAAATAAAAACAGTAATATTATGTCACGTTCGACTTGCAAGTTCTTAAGACTTTGATTGATGACTGCGTGAAAATGAAAACAATCAAATTGTTCCCAATTTTCCCCAACCAAAACATAAGTGTTGGTTTTCATTAAAGGTTTGACGAGCGTTTCGGTTTCGTAGACAACAGTCCTGATCAGTGTTCAGGGCTCATGTTACAACAAAGCAAATATTAATTTCTTTATTGAAATGCTGAATACATGTTATGGGCATTAATCTTTATAAGTTCTAGTCAGCTTTTTATAATATCGTGGTGAAACATATAACGCCTACAAAGAACGCATAGTAGCCGAAGGAAAATAAGCTTTTAAATCTGTTCATTGCGAACTCTTATCAAAGTCACAAACCTGTTGTTACTAAACCCAATATTCTTTTGCTCAAGGAAGTCAAAGGGTTTTTGCTGGCTACTTTAAATGACCAAATTTTTGTATTCAAGGGCCGGAAACTGCAAACGAGATTAGAGTACCGTTAAAATCTACTATATAGGCCAGTTGTTTTTCATTAAAGAGTCGTGTCTCCCGTAATGTCCCTTTTTGTTCACACACTTTTCACTCTCACACTTTCACCCGCACACTTATCGCTCGTCATTCTTGACTCGTGGCCAAAGAATTTTGTGATAGCGCATGGGATGAAATAAATTTCCAAGCAAATTGAACTTGGTTTCCGGCGGTTGTTGGTAAAACAGACAACGAGGAAGATAGGCTGATTTAACAGCGAAGGAACTTGATATAATAGAAAAAAACAAAACAAAACAAAACAAAAATAAAGTGGTGCCTTTTTTCAGTATTTGCCCGATATTGCGGTTTGCAACACAAAGCTTCTGAACGGGGGCTATGAAAGAAAAATGAATACAGATAAAAGATGAACGTTATTTTTGCGACATTTGACTGAACACATAGCAAACAGAAAATGATAGGCTACTAAAAAGATAAATGTCACTAATTGAGTTCATCACGCCTATTTATACCATGAGGTTCTAAAGACATAGCTTTGTTAATGAGGTGAGCCATGCCTTTCTGACAGAGTCACGTTTGCAACAGATTAGCTCTAAGGGAAAATAATTGCCTGTCCGGCCTAGCTGCCCATCTGTAAACCTGGAGAAGGCTGGTATGGCCAGTCGAAATATTGTTATGAAAAAACAATACACATTGTTCTGAATCAGCTTTAGCAGTAGTCTTTGGACTTCTCGTTTTTGGTTCAAAAGTTGATAAATTTCGCACTTACTGAGTTATGAAATGGAGAGTCTGAAGTAATGGCCTGTGATAAGCCTGCGAGCAAGCTCTCCTATTGGGTAAGCGAAGCGAGGGTTTCTTCTGCCCATTTCGGCTTCGCCGCTCGCTCGCGCGTTCTCGCGAGACTCGTTTCACTCGCCCAAATTGGAGAGCTTGCTCGCGGGCTAGCCTTTAATCGGGTGGGGATCATTTGACAATAGGGGAAAGGAGAGGAGGATACTCGCGGGAAGTGGAAGAGAAGAAAATGAAAAGGGATTTTTCCTCAATCCGCCCGCTTTGAATGGCCCGCCTCCCCCCCCCCCACACAACCCCCACACCATCCCCCCCCTTTCAGAGAAAATTGATGTTGGTCACTTTTATGACTTTATCCCCAAAAAGGTACGACGATCGACCACTCCCGTCATTTTTTAAAGTGCCCAAGATAGCACGATCTCTTTAAACTGGCTGCTACAAAATATGGAAGATCACTTCCTTCTGGTCCGCATTGTGTCTAAAATGTGGCTTTTTAACACCGACGTCTCTCTAAATTCCCCTTACTAAAAATATAAACAGCTGAGCATAAGCAAGTCAGTTACATAAACAATGAAGAAAGGCTGACAGTACAGCTGGTAGAATAGGTATTTTTCTTTCTTGTGTTCTTTTCCCTGCAAATTCGTCCGTGGTAAAGAGGGACCGCGGTTAGCAAAACAACACTTTAATTTGCACGTGCATCACGTTTTTTTGCACATTTCTTTGCCGTCACTGCACGACTACGACCAGTGAAAATGCTTAATTTCACGTTTTTTTGAAGACGTAAACAAGCCACCAACGACGAATTTTTCTTTCTCTTTCTAAGCTTTTCTAAACTTGAGTGAGGGCCCCAAGAAACCAACTCCAGGGAAATTCGCCTATTTTTGACATTTCCAGCGAATTAGAGTTAACACTACAAAGTTTGAACAAACGTGAATTCGTTTTAAAAGTAATCTTTTCGCGGCCGTCGTTTTCGTAGATGCTCCGGCCTGAAAGCCTTCTTATTAATGATTCGATAGCCGCGGATTTATTAAGGCTTGGCCTTTTATTTATTATCACACTCTAGCAACATCATTGTAGCTCTTTTGTCCAAGACTGGTGGAGTTTGCCAGTTAAAAAAGAGAGAACAGGAACTTTAATACATCATTGATGGCGACCTGTTGACGGTTCTTTATTAAAAGAGAAATGATTGATATTTCATAAGGCGCGAATAGCATCTTTGTAAACTTACACCAGAAGGTAGCATTCTTTTCAGTCTGTTCCAGTTAATTTGCGGTTTTTGTTGGCTCGAAGACTTAACGTATATAACAAATTAAAAACGAGATATTGGTTTACCGGTGCAACACACTACAAGATACGAGTCGGCAAAAGGTTTGAATTTGCTGTTACAATATTTGGTTTCATAATTTTTCTAAAACTAAAACCGCTAATTCTCATTTTTCGTTTCTTGTGAAGAACTAAATAGATAATTTTTCTTATTAATCTGAATAAATTCGTCAGTGATAAAGAACATCGGCAATTAGATTGTTGAAGAACTAGCTGTTTTGCAGCGTGACTTATTGAACCACACCGCCCCTCGGATCCGGTAACACTCTTTTACTGCCGTTTGACAAAAGTGCGGTTTGTCAGTTTACAAGCACGATGGCGATTTCAGTGATGGCAGTGATACATGGAATAACAGAAACAGCATAATTCAAGCGTATTTTTTTAATAAAGCACTACCATACAATCATTGGCAGTAGCGTTTTAAGATGGAGGCTCCTTTATAGCATGACCTAACGGCTCGCACGTCTGGGCGGATCTACCATCTTTTGGCGATCCCCCAACATTGTCTTTGATCTGTTTGAACACCTTGTTTGGTGTTGTTGAATGATCGAATAAGGTGTAAGTGAGTTCAAAACAGGTTGTTCCCATCCATACCAACATTAGACCAATATGATTGATGGTGTTAGACCAACATGATCAGTGATGATGGATGATATCGGGCGTTGAAGATGGGTATAAAAGCCTACCCTTACGTCATCAGCGCCCGTGATTCCCATTCAGAAATCCTGGGTCAGACTGGGCAGTGGGGCTCGATGTTTTGCACATTTAACAACTGAACAGCACAAGATGGTACCAGACAAATAGTGAATTCGGGTCCGATTGAACATTGTCCAAGACATGAAGTACATGACACGAGAGTACTTTCTTACCTCCGGCAAGGTAGCTTATCGCAGTGATAGAACATGGAATTGCTTTAGCCCCGAAATCTTAAATTTATTGAATAAATTAATCTCTTCCGGTGATTAACGAAAGATAAGAATAGCGGCGACATACTTGCAATGGGTTTATCTTTTTTATCCTCACGATCGATCCGATCTGAACACTATAACTCGCCGCTATTTAAAACTAGAAGTTTTGTGGATTAGGTAGAAAACATCACCTATAACATTAAGGTCAATTTTATCTTTTCTTTATAAATCTAAACATTTTAGACTGTAAGGCTTTCTTTAAGTCGAAATTGACTTCAAATAAAAGGCAATTCGGACTAATTATCTCGGGAGAGTTTTATCCAGGGCCATTATGGCTCTTCAATTAATTGATGGGTTAAAGATTCACTGTTTAAGTTATTCGAATTCACTGCTTGAATAAAAAGATTTCAGCCAGCGGCCTGCCTCAAGACAAGGCTAAATGGTTAATTATCTCTGAATAATTCGCGTAAGAACTTGGTTAAACTTTGAAAAAAATTCTTGTTTGTTAATTTGAAAAGGCAAAGGTTTCAAAAGATTTAACTGGCTTAAGACTGCGGCACCCTCATAACATACTTACTGCATATCCGACTAGTAGCTCACGACAGAAATTCTTGGATCAAGTGTGATTTTAAAGAAAACACTGATTTCCGTCTTTTTAAAACCGTTAAAAAACTCACGCAGCTAGCTGGTAATTAAACAATGAACCTGTGTTCTAGAGAACTAAAATGGGCCATTTTCGCTTATCAAGCTAAAATTTGTTAAAGAAGCCGATAACATTTTAAGGAAGGATATTTATGTTTCCTTGAAGGAGAATGTAAAAATGTTAATAATGAGTCTTGATGCTAAAACGTGCGGGTTAAGAAAATGCAGACAAAACTATATTAGGTGTATACAATAGAAGATTGACTGGTATTGTTAAAGTAAAAGGAGAAATGTTGATTTAACACAAAAAGACTTGTTTACTTATTCCTTGCTAAATTCATGCTTTTATATGGATGAGACAGATCTTTTCCCCAGAGAGCAGATGTTTTGAGACAAAATTAATTAAATATGAATGAATAATCCACACGGGTCTCTTAGATACTGAGTGTTTGCGACAAGAGGGGACCGAGTAGTAAAATGGCTGCTTCTGTTCAGCTTCCAGCGATTTCGCAGGCACCAGTTGCCAGGGAATTTCCAAAAGTGTGGCTGCACAGGTGAGATATTTTTGAACGGTAGTGCTATATGTTGGTGGATCAAGTCGATCGTAAGTCTTTAAAATTCGGCCTCAGCGTGTTTAACGGAGGATGCTTATCTTATGCAAACAGAATAAGTACTGTATAATGAGTACGAAAATAAATATTTCTTCAAATGTTTTGTCCCTTCCTGGACCAGACTTGCCAATACTTTGCTTAAGGTTTGGTATAATTATTTCATGAACATGATAAAATGCGTTGCATTAGATTAATCGTAGTAGCAAAGACAGTGAAACGCGCTGTAGGTAACTTAGTCAAAAACAGGAGGATGAGACATTTGTTTTAAGTAGAAGCGAGACCTTGGCACGCGAATTAGCACTTAGACCTCAGTTAACGCCTGCTCGTATAATAAGGTTCTAACTTTTTTGAACAAGTTGGCTAGCTACAAGTTGCGGGATTCTGGCAAAATAAAACACTTCTAGAAAAGTTGCTCCTTAAAGAAAACTTTTTTTCCCTTTATTATGAAGTGTGAAAATACACACATACACACTAAAGAGGGGTGGTTAGAGCTGACTTTTCGCGCTTGGAAATTGAGAATCAAAGAATGAAAAGTAGCTCTAATGGGACTTAAAATGAATTTGTTGATTTTTCATCCTTAGGAAAGACATGTCGCGGTGGGCAAAACTGGATGTTCCTTCCCTGAAACTAGCGTCTCAACTCGACACCGATCACTGGGCCAAGCTCAAGGGAAAAGTAATAAGCCTTAAATATCAAAATATTTTTTCCTTTCTTTTTGGAAGTATACAGTTGTTTTTCTACATTCCCCAGCATCTTGTTTTATCATGATTTTATGGTAGTCCATCACTTCATGTTGAACAGAAGTAATTTTCACGCTGAATTGAGGTTCCCGCCACCGTTCTAAAGCTGAGGAATCTTGGGCTTTTACTAATGCTAAGTTACTAGATGTAGAAGAAAAATTCAAGTAGTGAAACTAANTTGGCACGCGAATTAGCACTTAGACCTCAGTTAACGCCTGCTCGTATAATAAGGTTCTAACTTTTTTGAACAAGTTGGCTAGCTACAAGTTGCGGGATTCTGGCAAAATAAAACACTTCTAGAAAAGTTGCCCTTAAAAGAAAACTTTTTTTCCCTTGATTATGAAGTGGGAAAGTACACACATACACACTAAAGAGGGGTGTTAAGAGCTGACTTTTCGCGCTTGAAAATTGAGAATCAAAGAATGAAAAGTAACTCCAGCGGGACTTAAAATAAATTTGTTGATTTTTCATCCTTAGGAAAGACATGTCGCGCTGGGCAAAACTGGATGTTCCATCCCTGAAACTAGCGTCTCAACTCGACACCGATCACTGGGCCAAGCTCAAGAGAAAAGTAATAAGCATTAAATATCAAAATATTTTTTTCCTTTCTTTTTGGAAGTATTCAGTTGTTTTTCTACATTCCCCAGCATCCTCTTTTATCATGATTTTATGGTAGTCCTTTTTGTCAAAGAACTTTTTGGTTGAAAATGTGACCATCACTTCATGTTGAACAAAAGTAATTTTCACGCTGAATTGAGGTTCCCGACACCGTTTTAAAGCTGAGGAATCTGGAGCTTTACTAATGCTAAGTTGCTATTTAAAGCTGAGGAATCTGGAGCTTTACTAATGCTAAGTTGCTAGATGCAGAAGAAAAATTCAAGTGGTGAAATAATGGCTGTCTCAATGGTGATTATGTCTGAGTAACTTGCGTATTTTTTTCGTACTGGTAAACCGGCCCTTATTGCTTTAATTTTATTTTTCTCTTTCGTTAGGTCCTTTTTTACTAATTCAAAATTTGACCCACTATAGATAATGCCGATGTTTTTCTTTTGTGGTTTCTTATTTTAAGCTTCTCATAAATAGGACAGTTTTTGTACGTTTGACTAGGTTTTTCTTTCCTAAGTACAATATTATTTTGCATCCAAAGCTGCTTAAAGTTGAATTCCCTATTAATTTACGTTTATCTTCGGCTTTAGCAAGTGATGCAAGTACAACTGAATAGCTAGCCATTATTCAGTGAATCAAGAAGACCCATTATCACTGGTTTCTGTCACCAAACGGGTTGGGACATAACTAAGAAGACATTTAAATTACATTTGAAAACCTAACAAGGCACTTCTGTGCGTCATTGTATTGGCACGCGAATTAGCACTTAGACCTCAGTTAACGCCTGCTCGTATAATAAGGTTCTAACTTTTTTGAACAAGTTGGCTAGCTACAAGTTGCGGGATTCTGGCAAAATAAAACACTTCTAGAAAAGTTGCTCCTTAAAGAAAACTTTTTTTCCCTTTATTATGAAGTGTGAAAATACACACATACACACTAAAGAGGGGTGGTTAGAGCTGACTTTTCGCGCTTGGAAATTGAGAATCAAAGAATGAAAAGTAGCTCTAATGGGACTTAAAATGAATTTGTTGATTTTTCATCCTTAGGAAAGACATGTCGCGGTGGGCAAAACTGGATGTTCCTTCCCTGAAACTAGCGTCTCAACTCGACACCGATCACTGGGCCAAGCTCAAGGGAAAAGTAATAAGCCTTAAATATCAAAATATTTTTTCCTTTCTTTTTGGAAGTATACAGTTGTTTTTCTACATTCCCCAGCATCTTGTTTTATCATGATTTTATGGTAGTCCATCACTTCATGTTGAACAGAAGTAATTTTCACGCTGAATTGAGGTTCCCGCCACCGTTCTAAAGCTGAGGAATCTTGGGCTTTTACTAATGCTAAGTTACTAGATGTAGAAGAAAAATTCAAGTAGTGAAACTAATGACTGTCTCAATAATGATTATGTCTGAGTAACTTGCGTATTTTTTCCGTTCTGGTAAACCGGCCCTTATTGCTTTAATTTTATTTTTCTCTTTCGTTAGGTCCTTTTTTACTACTTCAAAATTTGACCCACTATAGATAATGCCGATGTTTTTCCTTTGTGGTTTCTTATTTTAAGCTTCTCATAAATAGGACACTTTTTTCTACGTTTGACTAGGTTTTTCTTTCCTAAGTACAATATTATTTTGCATCAAAAGCTGCTTAAAGTTGAATTCCCTATTAATTTACGTTTATCTTCGGCTTTAGCAAGTGATGCAAGTACAACTGAATGGCTAGCCATTATTCAGTGAATCAAGAAGACCCATTATCACTGGTTTCTGTCACCAAACGGGTTGGGACATAACTAAGAAGACATTTAAATTACATTTGAAAACCTAACAAGGCACTTCTGTGCGTCATTGTAGAAACAGAGACATGAAAAACACAAGGAACGGGGAATTTATGAAGAGTATTAGCGGTGCGCACGCGAGAACAGCGACTCAGAACCTGGTTCCAAGGGTCTCTTTCCTTCCAGTCCCCTGAAGTGAGATAGAAAAGCTTTTGGAACGAGTCTGGAGCTGCGCATGAGGCCTGGTAGATAACCTGAGATTACACCCAGTGTTAGCAGCTGTCGTACATTCTCTCATTCTCTCAAGATATGACCGAGATTTAGCGTAACCAAGCAGAGATTTTCGTATAAAAATATTAATTTCTCATGCATCCCCTTAACATTTGTCCACAAGTGCCTGGGTGTTTTGTTTTGTTCTCAAAAAAAAAAAATGCAGCTCAAAATTTCTACTCACTTCAACCCAGCCTGCGATTAGAGACTCCTTTTGTCTTCTTGAGTGATGAGAAGAAAGGGAGGCTTTCGCTGAATCACGTCATTGAAGTCGCCGAAACCCGAAATTCTTCTTCTGGGCTAGTCAAATGGTCAAAACCGAGCTCGTTGTAGGAAGCGCACGGTCATTTATAGAGCTGGGTCAGGAGGCCATAACCCGGAGTGAACAACTTCCATGCGCTCGTGTTTTCACGGACCAGTTTATTTTTAGAACGCTTTTGGCGCGAATTTTGAATATCTTTTAAATTTCTTAACCAGTCAGCAAAACCTACAGACCTAAAATGATAATTTTCGCCTTTAAATAACGTTTAATTTTTCTTTTTGATATCTTACACTACGAATGCGCTCATAGCCGTGGTGGAGATTCTATTTTCGCGGGAAAAAGTGCCCTAGAATGTGTCTAAAAACAAACTGGTCAGTAAAAACGCCGTGGTATAGGCCTATAGTATGGGAGTTACTCCCTTCGCGTTATGGGCTCCTGGCTGGGTTCGAAACTTTATCTAGCAACATGCGCTTAGCAACATGCAGTGCATGTTCGAAAGATCTTTTTGGATTCATGCAGAGTCTTTCCCAAGTACGCTAAAATCGAGTGAGAAAAAGAAAGTCTCTACTGACCGGGTGACTACAACTTAACAATGGTGTTATCATGTTTCAGCACATCGAATTCGTAACTCACGTGTCCTACGGCTTCCCGCCTAAACCAAAGCAGTCTGGTCATTCCCATCCACAATCAGCAGGGCTGTCAAGTGCGTTCCAGAAATATTACTACAACAAAAGCCAGCATAGAGAGGATCTATTGAAAAGTGAGTATTTAGGCATGCGCGGATTTAGGAATGGTCCTAGTGGTATGCGCCCTTTTTTTTCTGTGGACTTTTGTGTTATTTTTGAGAATTCTCGTTTCCGAATTTTTTGGATCCGCCCCTGTTAGGAACTATGTTAAGAAAGGATGTAACATATTCCAAAATAAGAGGATTTTAGTTAACCAATGAAAGTAACACCTTGCGAAAGTTACCTACTAGTCTGGAGTAAATTCATTTAAAAACTCCTCTGCGCTCTGTACAGAACTATTCAGGTCGCGTTTGAGGACACTGTATCATAAATAAACACAAGGGTAGGGAAAATTGACTGCGTAAGGCGGGAAAGCATTCTATGGTGAAAAATTAAATATAAACATCGTTTATGACAGTTGTGTCATTGTAAAATCACGATTCGGGTGTGACCGTCCGTGCAAAAGTTGAGTAACAGCCAAAAGGGCGGCATGTATGTTTTAACTAGCCATATATCCACGATGAGAGTATAGAGGCAAGACTTGCATACAAATCCTCAGCATAGCTTGATATTGTTTTCTGCTTAGAATCCTTTACAATGTACCAACAAGGCAAACCGGTGGGGAAAGAAGCTTCGCTCAGAGCAAATAAGCAACATCGGCCACAGGTTCAGAAAAGGCCATCTGTATACAACCAGCGCGCCAAGGAAGGATTCAAGTTCTGGCTGGAAGACGATCCAATGATCAACAGAGTTTCACGTAAGAATGCGAGTTAAACATTTGGTTCGCGTATACCGCATTTTCTAAATTTAATGACTGGTGTTTGTTTCAAACTTTGCCCGGAAGACATAGCGTTTGCTTTAAAGTCTGTCTATTCTGTCCTGTATTTTTATACCTTTCCATGGCATTGGTGCTTTGGTATTTACCCCTGAAAGCAAATTACCTCAAGAAACTTTTGATAACTTTTAACCTCTCTTTCGCAAATGAGTTTTCTTTCACACACAATTATTTTCATTTGAATGATTATGCACCAGCCTCGCTTTTCATGGGTAATTCCCTTTCCGAAAATTATTAGGGGAATAGTTACAAGCTCACGCGGCAACGATTTCTGGATTCGTTTGGGTGGACAAACGTTAGTTATGATTGGTTAAAAGTTACCTTGAATACCATCGACCAATCATAACTAACTTCTCCACCCTAACTATCCCAGAAATCACTGCGCCCAAGGCTTGTACTCGTCCTCCCTAGAGCCTTTCTAAGGTGGGGAATTCAGTGAAATGGCATTTCTTTTGTTTTTTGTTGTCTTTTTTTCAGTTTGTTCCAAGTATACTTTTGGCTCAAAGAGCACATTCCATGGACTGGGAAATGCTCCAAGGAACTGATTAAGTTACAGAAGATGTTTGCGACGAGTTTTTGTGAATCAAGAGTGTAGTACTCAGTAAAACCTTACAAACAAAAAGATCAAAAGAGTGTAATATACGTAAATGAAAAAGACTCTGTATAGTAACCAAAGTAGCGTGAGATCACATTTACACGTTTAAAGAGGAGCTAAGAGGCTTAAAAACATCAGTAAATCTAACATGCACTTAATAGTCGCCTTTGAAATTTCGGTTCTATTACCATTTGTGTGTGTTTGTACTAGGGCATTAGTGAGAGTAAACAAAAACCATCTCTGAGTGGAGTATTGACGTGCAGTATTTGAAAAGGACAGATATATCGTATAAATAGTAGTACTTCTAAATGATATTAAAGATTATTAAGTTTGATCACTAAGAGGTCCAAGAGAGGGTCTTAGTTTAATACAAAGAAGGAAATAAAACTTTTCTCAACTGTATTTTTGCGGCCTCAGTGGATTACACTAATTTAATCAGGAGAATACTACCATGTACCTTGCGTCTCCTTAGAGTTGCGTCATGTTGCCAGCAGGGACGTAGCTCTCTGTAATCCAGTATGCATGTGGATACCAAAAGAAAGTGAAGGAGAGAAATGAAAAAAAAAATAAATAAATAAATAAACTAACAACAACAACAACAATGGCAACCTCCCCTCCCCAAAAAAGAACAATATGAAGATACAACAAACTAAAAAAAAGAAGGTAATAAAGGTATAGCTAAAAAAAGGAGTGCAAGTGCTTACGTTAATCTGTTTTAACCGTTCTTTCAGATAATTTTATTAAACAACTAGAAATGCAGTGTTTTTCCCCGATTTTGCCACACATGAAAGCCTTAAATCCTGCCTAAGAAGTATTGGTTCTTAGACCCAGAGAGATGAATGCCTCAGCATATATCAATATGGATATAAAAAAACACAAAGGAAAGAAAACAGAAATTTAATCGGTCGCCCACCCTGCGTAGCCGGCGGGGTTGTTAGCGCGAGCAAAGTTTTGGCAGAAGAGCTGCGACGCCGTTAAGAACGAAGCGTGAGCTTGATGTCGATTGTTACGTCAACAAGAAAAACTGCTGATTTTTCAATTGTGATTTTGCTTCAAAAAAGGAACAGAGGAATAAACGTGTTCAGCAGAAACAGATTGAAATCGGGTGTAGCTATCCAAAAATAATAGTTCCCAAGGGATCTCAAAAACAGATAAGAGCCTTTGAAAACAGAAACGAAGGAATTTATTGGAGTTTTTTTAAGTTACAGTTGACTCACCTGGCCTTAACTTTATCCATTTAAAATTGTCCTCGTTTTTTCAATTAAGTTAGTGAAACTGGCCTGTGGAACCTTACAAACCAGTGAACAGCTTTACTATTGTGGCCTTTTTTTCTGTCGACGGAGCAAAATGAGACACTTATCAATTTTTGATCTCGCAGTAACTAATGGCGTCCGTTTTAAAGGAAAAGTACTCAAGAATGAAGCGTGGTCGACGTAACAATTGGTTCACTAAGCGCGCGCTGTCTCATGATTGGTTAGTTAGTGTTCCAAACAACGTCTTCCAATTCATTCAAAGAATATTATCTCCTCTTTCTACCAGCTCTCCTGTTTTTTCTTGTTTTTGTTTTTTTATTGCAATTTCTCATATAAGACCTATTTCGTCTGCAACCAACTTATACAAACGTTGTTGTCTACGGTCGTCTACGGGTGGATTATGCAAGCAATGCGGGCCTATTTTTCGAACTTGTTGTCTTGGAAATAACAGTGGCGTATATGCGCCCGCGATCCAAAAACTGACCAAATGAAAATGTCTTCCTTGTCATGGGTTTCGCAGTTTAATTTCTCCACTTTGAAACACGGAAGGATACTATAATTTATGTTTTTTTTCATAATTGTAAAGATGAACAACGGAAGCAATTCACAGGCACGCTTGCAGCGTGGGCATTTCACCTTAAAAAGCAGCGGTAGGTGCATTGTTGGCATATATAATAATCGGAATCCAACATGGCGTCCGCCACTGCTGATATACATAATGTTGTGATTACGTTATACAAGTTTTACTAGACTTAAGTTTACGTCTGTCGCTGGTTGTGAAATTCGTTTTGGTAATTGTTTGTCTTTGCCTGTTAAAGCTGCATAGAGCGGTTTTCATTTGAGTGTCGAAAAGTAATTGGTTTTGCACTTTCTACACGATGCGATTGGCTTAAAAGATTCGCGCCACCTTTTCATCCAATCAGAAGTAAAACCAAAGCCAATTGTGACGCATTTGCGTCAGCCACATGTAATTACTTCGAGTTTTGATTGGTTCAATGTATTGTCTGTGTCCTATGTGATTGGCCAGAGTAATTACTTTGGTTTTGGTTTTACGACACTCAAACGAAAACCACTCTATCCCAAAGGATGGGCGCCATGCCCTACGGTATGGATATAAAATGACTAATTATTATTCATCGGAATTCAGCTTCTCGATCTTTGAATGTTTTGTGGTCGACACTGGCTCTTGTATGCACATGCAGTGACTAGGATCACGCAGTTTTTAAGTATGCCGATTAAATTCCTGGATTATTTGTTTGAAATTAATTGAAATATTTTTCTTTTCGTTCCTGATTAACATTATCTAAGCATCTGAATTAATATTTGTAGCACTTGCCCCAACATCTATGTCTTATATGGGACAGGACTTCATAGCAAACCACATGAAATCTCACTACAGGCGCATACTGTCAGCAAAAGGTATTCATTAAATTTGTCACAATTTCTGTACATAAAGTTAACAGTAAGAAATGTTAGGCCTGCTTCAGACGCCAAACTTTTCTTGAGCGAAACTAATTTGAATTAAGGCCCACCCAGATTATTTAGACTGGCTGAATTGATTCAGATGCCGATCTTAATTCCAGCCAAATTAAATTCAAAAGGAGACAAATGCTCTTTTCAGTCAAGCTGCTCGCAAAATACGTAATTTTATAAACTATGCATTAGGTAAGGCACATGAAAAGTTTGCCGTCTGAATCAAAGTCAGTCCATAGTCAAAATTCCCGGCCAGGCTAGGCGGAAAGAATGGCTGGGCCTTTCCACATTGAAATAGGCATTCCTAATTGATTCAGACGCTGAACTTTTCACATACCTAATTCAATGTACATTAGGTTCGGCTCATGAAAAGTTTAGCGTCTGAACTGCATGGGCCTTAGAGATATGAGGTCAACAATCTTGGAGTTGGTTGAAAAGATAAAAAACAAGAAACAAAACAAAAAGACAATAACAATCAGGGAAATGCAAATTCGTGGTTAAGTAGTGGTTGTGTATTTACAGTAGCTCCTTTAGTTTAGTCATGATCAAATAAAATATAATAATATGAAAAAACCCCAAATAATTAGCAAGAGAAAAGGCAGTCAAATGTTCTGCAGTACTAATTTACCAGCTTGGCTGAGGAGTTAAACTTGGGACTATTCATTAGTTGTCTAAGCGGGACTGGTACCTAGCTAGACCTCCAGATTGCATGTCAGACACACATGGTCCACTCGGCTAATCTGCTGTCTTCTGTACAATAATAAAGACAGGCTTATAGCATGGGCAGAGCTTGGGTACATGTGATATGCTTTTATCAGAACTAGCATAAACTTACCAGTCCAATAAAGACCCTGGTTGGTGGTCTAGACCAAGAGTTGAATATCCCAGCATGTCCTGCATGCCTTGCAGACTAGCAACTGCTGAGAGCTAACTCAGCAGTTAAATTAGTTTGATGTAGTTTAACTCCATCTGGTATTGAAAAGGTGATTGTTTATATTATAACTTGCTTACAAGGCCAAGCTGCTCTTGTATTAACCAGTATCTAAACAATTTTGTTTGCTTATCAGCTGCTGTTGATACGTCACCTCCAAAATCTATGAAAATGCATATGAAAGGTGAGAATCCAACTAAAACTGCAAAGCCACCACCATACATGTGTGTAATCCTTGAGCACGACAAAACACAACTAATTGCAAGAGAAAGAAACTTTCCAGTCACAGGGTCGAGTGAAAGGACACTTTTTTGCTTGGGTTAACAAACTGAGGAAAAGCAATCTTATGGCCATGGAACTTAAAATATTATTTCACTTAGTAATATTAATAATGATCCATTTTTCAGTATAGATTTTCTTGACAAATTTGTCTCTCTCTGTGATTGCAAACCTTTAACCAAGAGAGCTTTAACCTCAGAATTGCAGGCTTACAGCTGAATGTTTTGTAGGAGGTTTGAAGGTTCATGGTTTATAGCAGAATAATTGAAACAGTATTACAAGGAAAATATGCGCCTCAAATTTTGAAACAGGTTTTGATGAAAAAGGTGCATTTTAATCTTGGGTATTGTAAATTACCTAATAAATGCCCAGGGCGTCTATTTAATTCTAGGGGTCAAAGCAGGGGCATTTAATAGATTAAGGAGGTGTTTATAAGACAAAGGCGTGCATTTATTCTCATAACTGTAACAAGCTCTACAAAACTAATATGCTTTCAGCAAAAATAGCAAGAGGCCCTTTACGGTTAATATCGTTATGTTTTTAATTTCTCTCTGAGTGTATAGTTCGTGATCAAAAGAAGCGTGCTGCTCTCGAAAGCAGAGCTGGAACTCCACTATCATTGACAGCTAGGGTGAGTGTTGAACACTCTCATAGAATAAAACATGTTTTAGAGACCTTGTAGTGAGATTTAGGACACTACTACATGGTTATAGTTAATAATGGTAATAGGACTGAGTAGAGTCCAATTTGGTCTGTAATCATTATTACAACTGATTAACAAACTATTGGATGACCATGTAGCAGGAGTCTGATTTGTTCACATGTAATCACCAGTATAGCAGACCTAATTGGACAATTCGAAGTTCTGTTACCAATTCAATTATAACTATAACAAAATTTGTGATATTTAAGGCTTATTTCTAATTAAAACACAAGAAATTTCGAGAGGTTTTTTGCTAGCAGTGAAAAAAGCCATTTAAGTGGGCGCATGCAATGGTGTATACTGTCCAATTACTTAGGCATAACACGTACTGTCCTACACTGTCCTGTTAGTGCTGAAATCAGGACAGTTGACGGCCCATCAGATATTAATGATAATTTTGTTATAGTAAGCTGTTATGATTAATAGTGACATCGGTTGCAACACTTGACAGTGACACTTTTTTTAACCATTGAATGTAGGTATGGTACTCTATCATCCAGTTGTTATTTTTAACTTGTTTTATTTCTGTATACATGTGTCTGAAGTCCTTACACACTGAATACATGTAGTGTTAAATTAAATGTCGAAAGGTACTAAATTAGAATGGATGTAAAACCTCTTAAGTTATCACTAAGAATTATTCAAATTACCATGCCATTTTCAGCATGTTTCAACTGAATAATTCTTTTTAGAGCCCTTCCATGGAGTTCTTGACCTCATCATTCAATGAAACATCTCCCATGATCTCAGCCAGAGGTCTCCGGTCTCCAGACCCAAGACTTGTCAGTGCCACATCTGCATGGTCTCCAGATCAACGACCACCCACAGGGAAACCAATTCAGAGAAGTCAGTCTGTACAATCCCTTAACAGGGCTTACTCCACTGCCACACCATCACCATCACCAAGAGATATATTGACAACACAAGGCCAGTCAACACCAAGATCAGCCCGGCACCCACAATTGCGGGCACCAACTTCACCCATTGCAAGAAAACCAAAGCAGACTCTAAAAACAGCTCATCGATTGGGGCAGAAGAAAGATCTGAGGACTGCACCATCTCTTGATAGTTCAGATCAAGGAATGACAAATAATTACTTGGATGAAAATGTTAGGACACTTTTGGGCACTAACGATGAGCCTGATAATTTGAAAGTTCCCATGAGAGCTGGTTACAATACTGGTGAAGAAGGATCACAAGAAACTGACATATCACATAGCTTGAATTATAATACAAGTAGTAACATAAGGCATAATGCAGTACCAAGGCTTGACCTAACACAAGTGTCATATAGTCACAGAGGCCGTCCGTCAGTAAGGATGAATGATTTAGCTGACTTCCAGGCAAACTTGTGGTGGGTGCTTATTTTAATGTGTGTCCCACTTTTTAACCTCAGACACATGCCTCCCGTTTTCACCTCCCCTCAGAGATTTCAGAGATTCAAACACAGGACAATACCCAAGTTTGTCTCCTCAAGTGACCAACCCTCTTTCTCAATCAAAATCCTAGAACTACCCTTGACACCCAGGGGGTACTCCCTTACATAAGCCATATATAGGTATGTGCCGCCCCAACGGGTGGGGTTTTTGGACCTTTTTGGTCTGAAAGCGGGGTATAGACTTTCCCCAGTTTGGTCTGGAATCGGGTATGGTTTTCGAGGGAACTACAGGAGTGTATGAATGTATTTATTGTTTCAATTCCAAATGAATAAGAACAACAATTTCGAAATATGAGAATTTGAAATGCATTTGAAGAATTTTTTTTGTTTGCGCTCTATTCTAAGTAATGATGATATAATTTCTGGCTAAAGGCCAGGTCTGAAAACAGGTGTGGAAAATGTCATATTTTTTGGTCTGAAAAAGGGTCAGGATTTTGAGAACTGGGTGGCACACCCCCACCAAGAATTTCCAGGAGTAACCCCCCCCCCCCCCCCCCCCCCCCCCCCCCCCCAACTGGGTGGCACACCCCCACCAAGAATTTCCAGGAGTAACCCCCCCCCAGCCCACCCCCGGGCCTTGACATCAATCCAGAAAGTATTCTATGCATTCCCCGCAAAAGGTGCAGCATGCTAAGAAAGTTGTGCCCGATAGCCAGTGCTGTTTTTTGGGAAATTCAAATTACAGAAGAATTGTAATCAATCCTGCTAATCAAAAGGGTTTTGGGGATAGTTGAAATAACTTGTGGGCTAGTACATAGTAGCTACAGCTTGCCCGAATGGCAGGTGGTAAAACTGGCTTTCTTTGCAGCCTGAGGTGACAAAAGGGAAGACAAACAATTTGAAGGAAATTGTAACACCTACATATGCTGTGCTGAATTATAAAGTTCCTTAAAGTTCCTTGGGTGTGTGTATTATAGATTGCTTGTTGTGAACAGCACCATACATGTACTTTGATTTGTAGGGAAGAGGAGCAGAGGTACCTTAAATTTATTTCTGATGTTACCACAGACATTTTAGCAAGAGGAATCTTCAGCAACAGGTACATGATTTAAAGTAGGTTTCTAAAATTATTACTCTTTATTAAAATAAGCTCAGAAAAAAAAGGAGCAGGGAAAGTGGGAGAGAAAAGAATGAGGAGTACCATATAAAGGGATGTGAATTGAGATGGAAATAGTGGTAAATTATGTAGGAAATAGAATAAGGAATTGGAATTAGCAGATAGGGGTAGATAACCAGAGAGAAGTGGGGCAGGGAAATCAGTTGGAATGCATGCAAATTTTATTAAAAAAGGATAGGAACTGAACAAGAAGTGAGCAAGTATTCAGTGATTTTGTTACAAATAGTTATGGTGAGTCTTGGGACTCATCTTGTGAAAAAACATAAGTCCTAGTCCAGAACCATTGGGTCCCAGTTCAAAAAGAATGATTCCCTGGGTCTTTTGGTAACCACACAGTTAATCCAAAGACAGACTCCAAAACTTTGTATTACAGTTTACTGAAATAAAAATATACTCCTTCTATTGTAAAGCACAACAAAGACTAAAAGAAATAAGTGTCATTTAACTACAGCCACAAGAACAGCCACAGAAATCACACAAACAGGAATAAAACATCTTCAGATTGATCAATCGATCTTTGCGTCCTACAGGACGCATACCACAAAATATTTTGTGTCTTTGGGGATTTTTATGCTTCAGGGACACAGGATGCAGAGGTAACAAAATCACTGAGTATTGAGAGAGTAAGGACATATGCTGGCAGAGAAAATGGGAAAAAAAAATGGGATAAGAGAGGATAGAAGTGGGAAATCATGGACAGGAAACTAACAGAGAACTTATGAGAACACCAGGAAGCTCAAGAATGGAAGAGGATGATTAGAGAGGAAGTGGCCACTTCCATCTCAGCTCCCAAACCCCACCCAGGAACTGGAAAAATAAGGAGGGAAGAAACAGGAATGGGAACTAACATTAATTCCTCTCCCTGCGGGAAAATGGTGGTGGAAATAAGATGTATGGAAGAAAAATAACATATTCTGCTACATAAGAAAATAAATATATTAATATAAATTTACTTTTCTGTCTAGAGTTAGATTTAGAGTGCATTTTACAATTTTGAGGTGTTTTTGTCACTTGTAGGGTTCTTCAGCAAGTTTTTGAAATGCACATTGAAAGAAGAAAAGAATATTTAGATGAGGTAAGTTTAAAAGAACTCCTATGAAAATAAATAATGCTTTTAACATTGTACTGTTATTCTGGTGGGGTAAAAAAGTGGCTTTGTGGGGAGGAAGCCATTGTGAAGAGGTGGCCATTAGTAAAATTCCATAGGGTGCAAAGAAAGTCAGTTTTACAGCTAATTGGCTTTTGTGAATACATGTACTAACCTAAGAGTCATTGTAACAAGCCCCCCAAAAATTCTTGACCAGCGGGATTGATTGCAGTTCTTCTAATATTTGAATTCCCCCAAAAAACTTCACTAGCTTATCGGGCAAGTTAAGAACAGAATTAACTTGGCCAATAGCAAATCCACTAGCCATGGGCTATAGGACATGACTCTTTGCACACTGAGTCTCACTGTCAGTTTTGGATTCAATTGTAGAGATGTTGAGAAAATGAGGTTTGGAGATTATTTGGAGACCCTGTAGTGTGTTTAGGACAACTTTGAATCTTGCTGTATTACAAGTCATCGGCATATCACTGAGAAGTTTGAGAAAACTGGGAAATAAAGCACCCTTATAACCCTAACTGAGTATTTGACTATTAAAATCAGCAGATATGGCAAACATTACATATAATGAGTTCTATCCTTTCCAGAGCCATATGCGGGAGATGATTGAACAGCTAAAGGAAGACCTAGGTATTACAGATAGCTGACAAGCACTCTAAAGAATAAGTTACATGTACTTACATATACCTGAAGGCTGCTGTCCAGGAGGAAAGTGAAAAAGAACAAACTGTGCTTGAAACAAACCTCACTGCAATTAAATGAAATGATGAACATGCAAAGTAATAAACATACAACAATAAGTCAGATTTATAAATAAAAATAAAAATTAATACATGCACTGAAACTTTCATAGCCTTTCTTTCTTAGTCTTTCTTGTCATAGTCTTTTCTTGTTGCTATAAGGGAGATGCTAGACTGATTTAGCAACAGAACAGGAATGTGAGTTGTCAATAGCAGGCGCAAATCAAACAACTGGCTTGACCAATGGCAGGGTGGCAAATTGGGCACCAGAGGTCAAGTTTATTCCTTTCCACGCACTTTCCCTTTGTCAAATGACATTCCCGTTCTGTTGCTAAATCAGCCTGCTATGCTGAGCATAACATAAGACAGGATATAAAGGACAAGGCAATAAATTTTTCAAGTCCTGTAATCCTTGAAGGGGCTGAGTCTTGAGGATTATTCTGTGTTTTATTTTGGAATAATTGAAAGTAAAGAAATCAGATAATGTTCTGAAAAACTGCAAGCAATTTATAACTTGTTGGTACTTTAAAAAGAAGGGAAACTTTTCCCTGGTTAAAATGAATGGGGAGTTATCTTACCACAAAAAACTGTTAATTTACTAGACAAGACTACAAATAACCAATTTTTCTTAAACAATTTCCAAGATTTTTTTCATGGTCTTGGAAAAGCAATACAGATATTTTGTTTACAGTTCCATGTGTAGTTCAGAAGTACCACTTTCACAACTACATATAGCTGATAGATCACAAGGTTCCTTATTAAAACACTGCAAAAATGTTTCCAGAGGACATTCTGTTTGTTTGCCACAGCAAGGCACAGCAGTTAACTCTTCATTGACAAAAACTTGAACCATAAATGAATCCAAGTGTGACCTAAAATGTTCTGCTTGCTCTGAAGCAGTGTCTTTAGTGTTGCATTCATACACAACAAACGCAATGTTGGCTCCAAAAGGTGCAATGTAGCTAGTTTTGTAGTTGCGTTGACGAAACTTGGCAAAATTATCTGCTCTTAAATCCTCTTTGTCCTTGAATAAACCAAGCAATGAATAAAGTGGTTGAAGAATTTCTCCATGAGCAAACATAAAACTGCCATATACTTGATCTTCTTGCAATGGTTCTGTTGCATTTTTCAAAGATGTAATTATCCTTTCTAGAAGAGGACAGCTACTTTTATAGCAATAACCCATAGGTATCGGGGAAAAGGTCATGACGAAGTTCAGACTGTTCATTAGGTCTTGATGATTTAGAAGAAGTAGTTTCTAAAGTGTGGTGCACAAAAGAGAGAGTATTTAACGTTGAAGTTTCTAGCAGGCTGTGTACATGCCAACTACATACTCTTCAGAAAGAACACCATGACCTATCTTCAGCTTGCTAGAAACTTTTTCGAGAACACTTCTCATTTCCTCACCATGTTTAAAATTTTTATATTCATGCTGAGCAGTTTTGTTTTCTGCAACCCTTCTTAAATACTTTTGGCAAAGATCAAAAAATCGCAGAAGAGGGTCATTGTCCACTGCCTTGGACAGGATTGCTACTGGCTGGAAGCGATTGGCTGCGAGATGACCTCGACCTTCAAACAAACCAAAGGAAAAAGCCATTGCACTTTGTGCAGCCCGCGTTGTTCCAGTGCTGATAAACTCAAAGCTTTGTGGTGCGTAAGGATGGGATAGCAAACTAGGAAAACGTCTCAATGTCCTCTTCGCGATGTTATACATCTCCTCTTCTCCAACAGAAGTCAGTAATTTATCTTTTGAGAGTGAAAATGGGTTTTTCCAAGGCAAACGAAGTTCTCCAATCTGAGTGCTTTTAATTCCGGATTTTACCAGAGCATCGTGAACCACATTCAGCATCTTGTCTATTTTCTTAACATCATTTCGGCTAGGGTACCGGGAACCATGTCTCAGTACCATACTAATGTGAAGAGGTTCACAATTAACCGGCACATTAAATGAGATGTTCCGCCTCTGGTCATAACGAGTTTTAGATGAAAACTTTTGATGCGTTTTCCGCGAAAGTGACGGCTCCATTTGCTCACTTTCTTGGGCAAAATATCCCATAATTTTCAGAAAAGGTATCAAGAAGTACATTGTCGGATTCATTGCCTTTTTTTATCCACCACCAGTGAGGCTAAAAATTATAGAATCAATAATCAGTGTCTGCAAAGGGAAAAAAACACAATTTCTGCCAGGCGTAAAATGAAAGAGAACTGGAACTACCCACAGATCTGTTCGAGCATATTAGTTCTCAGGCTCCTTGACCGTGGATTTCAAGCATGGCGGACGTTTGGGTCGGAAGCGAAACAGGACTTTTAAAAGGTATACATGCGTTAAAAAGCTATAGTTTTTCTTCTTCGAAAATTTTAATTACCGACTGGTGCTATTAAAAGATATATGTGATTTGAAGGCGAGGTAAACTGCTCGAATTTTCTAGGGGTTGACCTGAAAAAGGGTTCCTTTACGAACTATGGTGTCACAGAAAAAGTGGACAGAAGCCATGCAATATGTTCCATGCACTGGGTTGATGAGGATGAGAATCAGGTATAAAGGAAATTTTACATATTTTATCTCGAGTGAAAGATAGGTTTAGGGTTAACCCCTTGAATCAAGTTTGGACTGTCCAACATATTGGGCTGCCCCCGGTTAAGGTTCTTACCCATGAAGATTAAATAAATTGCATTCACCCCTGAAGACTTCCATAGAATATGGGTGTACCCCTGAAGAATTTCATGAAAATGAAAGCTCCCTGATGAATTCTATGCTTCCTCAACCGAGGTGGGGAAGGGGGGGGGAGGGGGGGGGGTTAAAAGCAGTAGCCCATTATATGCATGCGGTTCACCTTAATCACACGACTGCATTAGCCCTACATATATTATTACTCTGACGGTCATTTGCTTATGAAGGATTGAGTGACCTTAGTTAAGTTCAAAAGGATTTCGTGCAAGTGACTATTAACGAAAAATCTCTTAGATCCAATAATAGGTGTCGCTTGTGTTGGATACAAAGATTGATCTTTTTGTTTGTTATTGTTCCTTTCCTGTATATCAAGACACTTAATACTCTCTTGGACAGTAGTATATATTACTTTCCCTTGAATCTAGCCTAAGAAAACAGCTGACATTTCTCAACGCCACCACTGTATTTTGCAAAGAAACCAGTCCTTGTATCTTGGAATGTCAGCTGTTTGCTGAGGCTACCTTGAATCAAGCTTCCTTTGAAGTGATACTATTCTTCCTGGTACCATATTGTCATTTCCCAGAACAAGAAAGACAGGGCTGTGTTATAACGGTGCCCGGGAACTTCAGGTTACTAACTTTTGCCTTTGGTTAATTTTAAAAAAAAGCCTATCTTGTACCTAGGACTTAACTGCCTAACCCCAGGATTTCACAGCACTCTCTCTAATTTTTCTGGGAGGACGGCCTTGCTAGTGTTAAACGAAAATTGTTACCTTTTAAAACCTGTCAAAGAGACCTTAAAAAACCTTTAAAACTGCTATTAAAATATCTCCCTTGACTAAACATTGATAGAAAGGAAGAGTACGTGAAAAAAATGGGCCCAACTTTTTTTGTTAATAAATGATGGTAATCATTAATATAATTGTTTTGTAGATTTTATTGGGATTAGAAAATGGTATTGTGAAGACCTTTGATGTCAGTAAAGGTGAATTTGTCGCAGAAGAAAGCTTCCCTATAAATGACAAAAAATTGAAAGGACTCTTTAAATGGGAAAAGTAAGTTTATCAAGGAAAAAGTGATAACTCTAAAGTTTTTGTGGTAGATATCTGATCTTAACCAGAAATACAATCAGTGACAAAATTGCGTAGTGTATATTTGACTGAAATACTTTGTTCAAGGCAGCCAGCATTTTCCATGTTTTATTCCTTGACCAAAACAAAGCCTTTCCTCCCCATTCGCCTAAGCAATGTTGTGCCAATGCTTAAGCTCCCTGTAGGAAACCAGGAACAGGCCATCTATGGGTAAGCGGTGCAGACTGTGTTGTTCTCCAAAATGATTCTCCATTTTGTGTAAGTGTCTTAACCATTTTGTTGTAAATTGTAGGAGATATTGTGCATTGTTTTCATGCGCTGGCCTTTCAGGAGTCTCTTTCCTCCACAACACACAAGATTTTATCGGCCTGTTACTATCCAAGTGTAGAAGTTTCACGTAATTCATATTTCGGAGCCAGTCAGTACAGACCCTTCCTCAATGTGTTGCAATAATTATGCTGGTATCCAGAATCGTTCTAGAAGCGCCAAGACCCATTGATGGTGCAACACTTTTTAAGTGGAGGGGGCTACAATTCTCCTCTCCCTCCCCTTCCATCAATGTTACCTTTGTTTGACCAGAAACAAAATGAAACAACATCCTCACTAAAAGAGTGTGTGTGAGGGGTGGGGGGGGGGGGGAAGGGGGGGGGGGGGGGGAGTAAAACCCTAGTTTTCTGGGGTTTGCGGCCCCTGGGCCCTGAGACAACCTTATTTGCAGCTGAGTTAATCCATTTTTGTTCCCTTTTTGTTAATAAACAAAGGCCTGATTTCCTCCTTACAGTTCATTTGTACAATGGTTGGAGTCAGGTTTACTTCAATTATGGCAAGACAAAACCCCCCCCCCCAAAACCCCCCCCCCCTTTCTCGGGACGAAACCTATTAGCCCCCCCCCCCCCCCCCCCCCTTCCCCCCCCCCCCCCCACCCCCCCTCCCCTCCCCTCCCCCCATTACCCCTCCCCCTATCCATCACCACACCACCAATACATTCCAACGCGTCTTCGACCTCGTTTTTATACAAACAAGTGTCGAGTAGTGATCTTTTTTTGTGTGTATATGAAGCACCACTCCGCCGACCAGCCTGAGGAAGAAGTGTTTCGTTCAGTTGGTCAGAAGTAAAAGGGGCGGACTCGCTGGGTAAGGGGGGGGGGGTGAGGGTGGGGGGGGGGGGGGGTCGGGGGGGGAGGGGGAGCTAAACCCTAGCTTTCTGGGGTTTGCAGTCCCTGAGACCTGAGACACACTTATCTGCAGCTGAGATAATACATTATTGCTGCCATTCTGTTAATAACACAAGGCCTGATTTCCTCCTTACAGTTCATTTGTGACATGTGTAGAGTCAGGCTTACTTCAAATATGGCAAGACAATGATAATCCTGTAAGTATTTTAACATTGATCTGCATGCCATAAATTTGCTGCTTACTAAGTCATGACCAAAAAAAACCAACAAATCAACCTTTATTTTACCTGTGTTGAATTGTGGGTCATGTTTTTCCTTTGGCTCTAAATTACTTAATATATTAATTTTGTCTCCTGATTTGGTCAGGAGCCAATTACCCTACTCCTGATTTGGTATGTGACCTTTAGCAGGAAAGAGTTCAGGCCAGAGCAACATATTTACCTTATCAATATCTTGTGATTGAAACCCAAAAATATCTTGTATCCAAGTACCCTGGCTCTAAAGGTCAGTGCTTGAAATTCCTAGGGTGAAATAAACCGTGCTAACAGTTTGATAAAGCTCCCCAGATGGAGCGTTATTTTTTTTCTCTCAGCAGTTTGCACCTTGCTATCGCAGCTTTGCTGCAAACTATCAGGAATCAGATACGAAAAAATAACCTCTGGAACACAGGGCAACATTCTACTTGTGGAGAATTAGGATCTGTTACACTATTGTAAAACTCAATACAATAAAAATTATTTTGTTGTTGTTTTTACTTTATTAGTAAAAGAGTTTTTTAATCTCATTTCAGACAGATGTCAGGGTTGGTGCCAATGTGTCTACTGTTCGTCAGAATCCCTTGTGTCCTTCTCAAATAGGAACAGGTGGCCAAAAAAATGATTTGAAACTGTGGGACCTTAGCAGGCCTGAGGAAGCAGTATTCAAAGCCAAGAATGTAATTTGAATTTATTGATTTTTTAATTTTTTTTGTCAAGTTTCAATTTTTAATCGAAGACTAGCTAGTGAGCTGCACAACGGATGATGTCTTGCATTTGTAAGCTTTTTCGTTTATTTCCGACACGTTTTGTGTCCACTTACACTTCGTCAGGGAATGAATACATCTAACAAAGAATGGCATATATTTGCACACTAACGTGCATAAGTTTAACTTCCTATAGAAGTGAATAATAATAACGAAACTATGCTGTGAACGGACGTTACAAGAAACGCTTTAATACATAGTTATTGCGTGTAGTTTTATTTTTGGGGCCAAAAAAGGGCTAAACGAGTTTAACCAGAACAGTTTTTGATAGAGCGATTTTCTTATGATCTTGAAAAAAAAAAGCGCGAACAATACAGAAACAACAAACGAACAGAAATAGAGCGATTTTATTGGTTTATCGAACACATACAAACGCGCGTAGCTTCTGGTTGGTTAAGCGAACACTCGGGTGAAAAAACTTCATGCCCGAGAACTTTCTAGAAACAAACCCATACTTCGCATTGACGTCATACTGCAACACGATTGGCCAATCGAACAATGTCTACTCCATATTAGGGTTTTCTTTGGCGGGAAAACGAAGAGGCCATGTTTTGATCTTTTCATCCATTGGCTGATAAAACAAATAACGAACACTTACCGAAATCATTTTTAAGGTCATACGAAAACCGCTCTATTTAGACTGCACTTGAAAAATCTCAATAACTTCTAATCTCCCCAACAGGAACCAAATGATTTCCTCGACCTTCAAGTTCCAGTCTGGGTAACTGATATAGGATTTTTGCCTGGTCAAGGGTTGTCATCCAGAATTGCGGTTGGTACCGCGTATCATCAGATTCGGCTGTACGACACCAAAACACAACGACGACCAGTTTTGAGCTTTGACTTTGAGGAGCATCCAGTATCAGCACTGGCGGTTACTGATAACGAAAAGTAAGATAACAAGAAAAAATGTTACATGTACTATGGTACAGTTTATAGTTGTGTTTGAAGGTTATTTCATGATTGCTTTGGCTTCTTAAACGCTTTTCGATTTAATAGCGGAAATTTCCCACCACTGGCTTCAAGCAAAAGCAAATCCCACCGTACGCCCGTTTTCCCGCGCTTTTCAACGGCACTTCTTGATTGGTTCATTTGAATTTCTGCGCGTGATGTGATTGGCCGAAATGCCAACTATCCTTTTAAGAACTGACAAAACAACGCTCGTGATATTTAGAACAGTGATGATGAACATCCGTTGAAGACAAGAGCAAAAGAGTCCCGAAAAAGTGCGGAGGAAGGACAAGCAGAGAATACGATTTACTGACTGCTAGCTTATAGGCGTGTAAATACTGGTCTTATCCAGCTATTTTCTCGTTGTTTATTCGATACCGTACACTGTCGTAATAAAAGACCCTTGGCTCTCTGTACAGTAAGGCAAACTCTTGTTTTAAGACCCATATTTAGTGCAGATCCCAGAGGTTTCAGTGTTAGAGAGAGTCGATTGTATTCATTTCTTTATTTCTCACGTACTGTATTTTCTTACTTAGCATTGTCATTGTGGGAAATACCGTTGGAACGATGGGTAGGATAGACTTGCGAAAGGGTAAGAGCGATGAAGTGGTCAGTAATTCTCATTATTATATATCTCCTCTCATGTCTACTTCTTCACAACCAGCTAGCATTAACCATATTTGGAATGATGTTTGCCGATATCAACAGGATTGACGTCAATCTTCTTGATATCGGCAGGAAAAAGGGACGCAAGGCAAGGTAGCTGGGCTGTTTTTGGCGGTGTAGAGCTGAAAAAAATAGCGGAGGATTTCTTTTTTTTGTATTCTAATGAATTTTTATTTTGTTTTACAAAAAGTTCGTGTATTGCATATATTTAAAAAATGATAATTATGAGGATTTCACACATAAAGTATGCTTTTAAGACGAAATGGGCTAACAGGCGCCTCAAAAACGTTTCTAGAGTATGTACGTTTCTGTTTTTAGCGGAGCTCTCGTGCGCGAAGTGCGTGCAGCCGAGCACCATGGGTAAGAAAATGCGGTAAACTACTCATCCGAGAAAATTTGGTAATCAACTGACCGTACACCAACCGACCGACCGCCCGACTGTTTGTCCGTCAGGCACACCTATGTAAAATAACCCAGTCAACAGGTATGGCAACCCAAATGCGACTCGAGGTTATTTTGACGGGAAATCGCATAGCCACGCGTGTCTTGTAAAGCAGAAACAACTAAAGAGTCAATGAAGACGAAAACGGAAAGTGGAAATTGTCTCTGTATCCGTGTTTTCTAAAATATTAAGCTTAGATTAATTGCTATGTCCACAAATTGGAATATAGAGCAAGAGAAAGACAGAGAAAAAGAGAAAGTGGGCGACAGGCCAGCGAAGCTCAACGAGAACAAGGACGACAGAGATCTAGAGCGAGAGATAAAAGACAAAGGAGACATTTTTTGTTGGAAGAACAACATGAAAATTTTGTAGCGGCGGTGACATTTCCTCCATAAAACGTGTAACTAAGTCTAAGAAGTTTCTGGACGTTTTACGTTGTGGTCGTGCAAAACAACGGCAAAGAAATGTACAAAAAAAGTGTGCTGCACGTGCAAAGTTGCTTTTTTGCTAATTAGACCTATTGTTGTTTTTCACCGTTCTCCGCGTTGCCTTCGCCGCTTAGCATTACACGATTATATACTTTGTTTAAACAAACTATAAATATTATCGAGAGCTTCGCTTTTAGCCCTGGCTAAATCTATATACTAATTTAACTCCCCTTCTTTCAGGTCAGCTTCAAGGTCATTATAAAGGATTTGCTGGTGGGATTCGCTGCATTTCCTGTCTCAGTAAGCAGCAGATGGTTGCATCGTGTGGACTGGACAAGTTTCTTAGAATACATCATCTCCACAGCAGGAAACTTCTTCATAAGGTACTCTTAAAACTATGCATGGAAAACTCATCGTATGAGGCCGTTATGCGCAGGCCAAGGATAGTAAAAGCACAACTTTGACGGAAAAAAGTCTTGCCATCTGCCGCAGTAGTAGTAAGGTATATGGGGTCTGCAGTACACTTTTCAAGGACACATGAAAATACCATGTGTCAAGTAAACACCTCAGAAATTAATAATAATACCAGTAATTCTAATAATAAAATCCCTGAATATGCCAGGA